TCACTGTTCGCCGATCGTTCACAATGCCCTCGTGCTGTCTGGACCAGTGGTGAATCTGGGCGGGGGTGGGGGGGGGCGATTGGAGTGATTTCCTTCTGACCCCCCCCTCCTCTTGCAGAAAATATAAAATAAGAATTTTATAAACATTTACCAGAGAAAAATAAATTGCCACGGTGGCGAGATATTACCTATCTCGCCCTATCTCGCCCGGTATGCAGGAGGTCGTCGGTTCGATACCGACACTGATGCCTGCTGCTGTATATTTGGAGTTTGCATGCCTCTCCCCGTGGTCGAGTAGAATTTTATCCGGGTCCTCCGGTTTTTCCCTCCACATGCGTTTAGAATATTTGGCTGCTTTAACTTTTTACATGATAAGCCACTTCGATGAACTATCATTTGTGGCCAGGACGCTTCTTAAAAAGAGCTGTACAGCTCAAAGTGCGTTACCCTGTGAAAAAAAATAGTTACATCGTTTAAAATAGATTAATGTATGGCCTTGTTTTAAAAGCTTGAAATTCTGGAACCACACCTCTCCCCTCCGGGAAGTTTCTAGGTCTAGATTCTAGGTCGACCTCTGATTCGGAGCCCTGCCCAAGTGTTGTTCCTGTGCAGGAATTGGACCATTCCTGGGCCAGCAGAGTCCAGTTCCCAGTGGTCATGGAAACGAAGAATTTGCGTCTCTGTGTTAACTCCAAGCTTAGCACGTGCTGAAGTTTGCATTCCCTTCATAGTCGTACGGCCATCTTCCTACTGCAAACTATAATGACATTTGCAACTAATTTAAAAAAAAAATATTCAAGCGAAGGGGGGTTGCACGTTATCGACATTATCCACCCAATATCTGTAAAGTAAGTTTGGTCTTTTTTTTTCTGATGAAAAAACTGTCCACCTGGCATGGCACTTTTTGCCGGCCTCTGAGCGAATCCATTACTCTAAGAATGCCAACAGTGGTGGTGTTGCCTTACTAATCGCACCTGTTTTTGTTGTCAGCCCCTTTTTAACACTTCAACGCAAACGTCCACCACACGCACGCACGCGCGTGCCCGCTCAGAAATCCGACCTGATCCACTCTACAAAACACTAAATGCCCAATGCCCAGAGTCAAAACAACGACCCGGGGCGTTTCCCGTGGAGACGGAGCAAACAGTGGTGGTCTTGATGCACTGCTGGGCGTGCTCCAACACGCTCTGGCATTCCGCACTCTTTGTGCCACCTGGGCACGAAGTGGCGTGGGGCTGAGACTCGTTGCTCGGCGCCTTCCGGAATAGGACCGAGCTCTGCGACGGAAGAAGCATTGGTGCCGTGCGGTGCTCCCCGATTCAGTTTGTCGCCCCGTACGATGGCACGCGTCGTGCTCGCTGTGCCCTTCTGTCACCGCTGGGATTTTTCACATCTTACGGCTGATGCTGCTCGTGATAAGATGAGCGTGTGCATCGGTGACCGAAGGAATGAGAGTCAGTGTGGTGGTGGTGGTGGTGGTGGTGGTGCTTGATGGTGGTTGTGGCGACGATGATGATGTTGATGGATTGTAGGGGTCGAGCCCGAGGTGCTTTTGACTGGAAGCCCGGTCACAGCGGTAACTTGCCCTCCCCGTCTGCTTGAGTGTGTGCGCGTGGTGGGTGGCTGGGTGAGCGTGTATACATAGTAGGAGGGGAGCGTTAGGCGGGCAGTGTGGCTGAGCTCGGTAGGAGGGTGGGGGTGGCGACGGGAGACGGTGGGTGGGGGCCGCGTGCGTGTTTGTTTGGCACCAACAGCAGCACCTTGGTGCTCGTTTACGACCGGACAAAGCTGAGAGGACGCGCGGATCTACAGAACGCGCGCTGGTTTTTGCCACCACCATCGAAAGTTTGGCGGCAGCTGAAGCTGTGGGCTGCGTTGCGTTTCATTTGGCCGTGCGGAGAACCGTGTGGCGGCCGCCGTGCGGAGTGCCGGGCCCCGCCGCGATGTTACAGAACCAGAAGCTTCAGAGCTTCAGCGCGACGTTCAGCACGGTGGATGTGCGGTGGAGTGTGGACGGCGCTGCCGGGAAGCATGGCAGTCCTATCCTCATTCAGCCTGGCTTCCTGCGAGTAAGGCTGGTATCATCATCGTCATCATCATCAGTCTCTTCATCACCATCGTCCTCGGCATCGGTTTAGCTCTGTCCTCAGCTGGATGAAGGTCTCCCAACACTGTCATCGTTTCCGACGGTCCTACGATACCTCAATCCATCTCACTCCTGATCTCATCACTCCATCTCCACGGTGGAAATTATGTCAGTCGTGTGTTCATTCGGTTGCGATTCTGTCAACAGTCCCATCCATCGCCCGTCATTACCTTCGAGCGACGTGGCCTGCCCAGGCCCAGCTACTTTTCTTAACATTTCGAACGATGCCGTTCACTTGCGTATGCTTTTTTCCAATCCACCTGTTTCTATGGTAACTGCTGCTGCTCAAGCATCAGCCTCGCAAGCCTCAGGGTGAAAAACAAATCTGGCTCACTCAGGGGGTGACAGGAACATGCCGTTATGATTATATAATAATTACCTAAACACATTCGTGGATTGTGATCGTACAATTAAACACGGCGTTGATAAGCACCTTATGTCTGCCGGCGACGGGCTACATTGATTTCTCAGAAAGGAGCAATTTTGGGATCTCCACCACCGTGAAGTCTGGCGTGAGAGCTGAATCGGGGAAAGCGCTGCTTATCAGTGGCCGTGTGAATTGCTCGTGAATTAAAATGATAGCTCCTCCGGTGAGGCTCAGTGTGACGGCAGCACGCGCCGCCGCCGCCGCCGCCGCCGCGATTGTGCGCTGGAGACTCGCTGACATTGAGCGATAAAACCGGCGGCCTGGCGGTGTGACGTGCGTCTCGTCACACCGCGCCCAGCACCGCCGTGCGCTTGGGGAGAGGCTTATCGAGCTGTGGCTGGGCGCCAGTGGCTCGGGTGTTAATTGTAATCGAACGCACCTGTAATGGGAAACCGACAAATCCTTGGATTTTTTTTTTTGGAGCCAAGTTTGCTCTCCCGGAATTAATACAAGTAAATACTCTTTGGTTCTATTCGGTAAAGTCAAGTAAATACGCAGGATCGTGAGAGGTGGTGACGGCTTGGGGAGGCCTTCATCCAGCAGTGGATTGATCATTGCTGACGATGATCTGCATTTCATTCATATAAATTACGTTTCAAGCATTTCCTCTGTGACAAATCCTGTTCGGGGATTGACACATCGTCCTTATGGGGTCAATACAATGAGTATCATTGTGGTGGAGTTAGCAGTTGAAACTCAAATCTTTAGAACTGCTTTTTTGTGTTTAGTCTGCTGTCCTTCCCCGCACCTCCGATTATCACGTTTGGCTACGTACGGTGCGAAAAAGTTAAACATACATATGTACAGTTGTTGTCCTATGAAGAGAATCATTCCCGTCAATCATTCCCGTCATATGAATGTGGAATTTTCACCACTGGCTCAGGGCTGTAAACAGGAGATGAGCACTGCCTCACAGCAGGAAATCACTTTGTGACTTCAAATTGTTCATCAATAGAAACAGACTGGACATGCCTCATGATTGCCAATCACATCCTGCTTGATGCAGAGGACAACCCTTTCATTTGATTCAGGGCCCTCGACCTCACGAGACAACAGCCATCATTTTCCACGAAGTGGCGATAACGTCACCACGCCACTCGTGCCAGGCCAGGTGCGTTTTGTGGCTCGCGAGCAGAGTGTGTCACGGGGTGTCACCAGGTGGTGTGAGTTAACTGCCTGAGATGACTGGCAGATGCACCACCTGTGGTCTCCACGGTGCCAACTTTTGCTCCGCTCGTTTGCTGGAGGGCGACTGCCTCCGACTGCATTCGCTTCCTTGACGAGCTTCCCCCACAGAGACCGACCTTTGACACCGCTGGTAGCAGTAAGTCGGCAAATTCACTTGGCTCCAAGTTCTCCCACACCACATCGGCCCATCTCCCCTCTAGCGTGCCAACATTTACTTGGTCATCACAAATCAAAATACGGTTGATATTTAAGGAGTCATCCCTTTGAAGTCTCGGTAAGATAAAGGTGCAGCCCTGCAATTTTTCGCTCATGCCAAAGCGGGAAATTTGCAGGCCCTCCACACTCGAGGGAACTTTATAGAGCCCTTCCTGGGGGTATTTGGCCTACTCTTCCACGCTGGCCACATGTCTCGTGACTACCCACACTTCATCCTGCCACACGCGACCTGCCGATCGACTAACTGTGGTGAATTCGTTAACACCTTTGGGTGGACAGAGGCAGTGAAGGGGGCGGTGGGGGGAGATTTAAGAAAGCTGCTCCGTTGTTTCAACAGCCGCGCCGGGAGCTCAAATCCAACTTCTGGGTTGCATGCCCAGTGCGCTGACTGTTATACATCCACGACAGCATCAAAGCTAGATCTTATCTTATTTTTTCTAATGTGATCGAAATTTACATAGCACTTTTTCCAAGGCGCTTTTACAGCAGTTGTAAAGTTGCACGTAAGATGATCGCGGTTAGAGATGAAGAATGGTGTTTCTAAAAGTGGTGGTGTGATTTTGGTGGCAACAGAACGGGCGTGAGTGTTCAGGAGGGGTCATGGTTGGCCTGGTCGTAGCTGGAAGGCAACTGAAAGTTGGGGGTGTGGGAAAGTGTTGGGGGAAAGTGTTGGGGGAAAGTGTTGGGGCATCGCATTGGGAAGACGAAGAGGGTCAGCCAGGGGGGAGATATTACTTCCTATACGTTTTAGACGGAAAGTTTTTTTTTTATGTATATATATACATATTAACGTATCCCCATAATGCTTTGCAACTCGCTCAAAAAGGCAGTTGACATTTCATCGTTAAACCTTATTTCTTAATGTACTGTATGTTCTTTCACGCTAGTTCCTTTGTTGTCCTTCCCCCGCACCTACGATTACCGCGGTTGGCTCCGTACGTTGCGGAAAGAAATTCAACGCACATCCATGAATACGTGATGTAAAGTGTGTGCGTGCCCGTGCGCGGTGTTTGCGCCGTGCAGAACGGAGGCGCGGCGTGGGATGTGGAATCGCTGGCGAGGCAGAACGAGGGCCTGCGGGGGCAGCTGCACGAGCTGGAGCAGACCTGCTGCGCCCTCCGCGAGGAGAACGCGCTGCTGGTGAGCGCCACGACCCCCCCACCCACCCACCCACCCAAACCTTCCCCGGCAAAACAACGTGGCACTTTCGTGTATGCTGCGGTGTGAGGGTGTGTGTGCCAAAGACGGTCAGGAATATTGACGGAGTGACAGCCAAGGAACGGGACTCATCCGATAGGGCGTCTCCTGAGGATGCAGAGCGATGGAATCCGCCCGTGTGCGGGTGCCCCGTGGACTATTCCATTGCAGGATCGTGAGAGAGGGCGATGGCTTGGGGATGCCTTCATCCAGTAGTGGATTGGCCATGGCCGATGATGGTGGTGACTGCATGCGAGGGTAGAGTTTGCAGCACTGCGGTGAGCGCTCCGCTCAATTCCCGGCCGCATCAGTGGAGAGTGGTGCCTCAACTGGTCCTGGGCCCTCCCTCTTCATGAATCCGCACTGATCAGCGTGGTGAAGTATGGTCACACACCCCCATAACTTACGTGGTGTGAGGAGGCCTTCAACTAGTAGTGGATTGAAAAAATAATGTAAATGATCAATTATGACCATTGGTAACTAAATGAAATGAATACTATCTACCTTGTGGATCAGCTGTAGTGTATTTTGGTACATGTTTAGGTGCAGTGTAATGATTTACCCCCTTCAGATGATGACCTATAACAATTTGATGACCTATAACAATTCCAGGTCACAATTCAATTTACATGCAATACCTCGTGGTATGAAAACATAGCATTTGTCAAATCGTTAACGTATTTGAGTAGTAAATAATAGAGCCTTGCCCGCCTGATTCAGTTGGGGTATTGTGAGCCTAAGAAATTTTATTTCAAAAAATAAATTCACGAATTATCATGTTCCTAATGTTTGTTGCCAGGCTAAAAGTGATACAAATGCTGAATGCCATCCTCTGCAAATTTAAACTGGGAGGGAGATTCCCATTTCGGTCATCGTAGATTATCAATCCACAGCTAGATGAAGGCATCTGCACGTCGTCGCCATCCTGTGATGCCACGCTGCAACCTCACGCCTGTGAGTGAGCCGATCCCATTGCTCCATCTCCACGGTGGTCATCCTCTTGGGTGTTCCCTCCTTTGGCTGCCATTCTGTAGAGTTAGACTAAAAACGTTGCAATTCAGAAACTCCAACTAATCAATAGACAAGAGTCTGCTCACTCCTCGTGGATATTAAATTACATTTCATTGCACCAGCCTGTGGGCGTTCTAGTTGAGCGTTTTCCAGTGGTGTTAGTCACGGGGACTGACTGAGAATCAAACTCTTAAAGTCTAAACGCTCCAAATGTAGACCGCTTATAGAATGGCCTCAATAAATCGCTCACCTCCAAAGCCGAGATGATCTAGACTGTGTCCTGCAGACCCAGTAAACAAGACCACAAGGTGAAACAGCTGCTTATCTGTTTATTTACTAAATTATTACCCACAATCCACCCTGACAGAGCTTAACAAGTTTTGCTTACAGAAGCTTAGCCCGGGGCAAAGTGTGCCGCCCGCACCATTAAACCCAGAGAACATAACAGAATCATCTCACCACGCATATTATCTTGGCATTTTGTTGCAAAAAAAATAATCGGTTTACTTGTAGTGCTCCGAGTACGTGAGGGTTGTGACCAGAGTATTAAGATGACAGCTGCCTCTTATTTTCCATCGCAAAGCAACAAGTCCTTTCCACTCGTTCGCCATGAAAGTACTGTAAAGGATCTCAACAATCGACGAGAGAAGTTTGAATAATTGCCAGCAGATGGTGCTGTTCACGTACTAATTGACGTGTTCATACTCTGGTTTTGTCGGTAAAGTCACGTAGGTAAAAATAAATGAAATAAATGGAAACTAAATTAAATCACGACGTTTTGGGCGCAACACAAGCGTCCTTCTTCAGGTGGGGACAACGTAGCGAAAGCACAAACGCTTTAAGTGTGTCTCAGATATGGCTGTGACGAGGGATTATATAGTCAAAATGAGTTCAAACAACTTGTGGTACACCGAAAAAAAAGAGTATCAATCAGCCCTCCTTTTAAAGGTAGTGGGGTTTTTTTTGTCGGTGCGATGCTGCATTGGCGGTGGTGCAAAAGACAAATGACAAAAAAACTCAACACAGTTGTCAATAACATAAATATGTATAAACGCGGCCTTTTGGGCAATGGTCCATTTGTCATAGCAGAGAGATAGAGAAGCCAGAGAGATCGAGTGAATAATGCATTACTCTCGTTCAGGGGTGGGGAACGTCCGGCCCACGGGCCGTATGAGGCCCGCGAAATCATTTGGTCTCTGGTCCTGCCAAGGCAACCGCAGGCGGGACTCGAAATTCAATAAATCTAGGAGCAAACCTGGAAAAGCAGTTGCGAGTAGCAACATCATCAATACCAGCTAACATCATCAATACCAGCTAACATCATCACATGCCTCGCCAAAGAGAAGCAGTTCCAGCCATCACATTGGGGGTGAGTTAATTAAATGTCTGACCAAATATAACAGGCAAATTTTTAAGTTGATAATTTTGTATGGCCCGCGAATGATGTTATAAATATCCAAATGGCCCTTGGCAGACAAAAGGTTCCCCACTCCTGCTCTAGTTGAAGGACTGCACTTTACACTTTGAGGAGATTGATAGAAATAGCATGTGAAGAATGTTTCTGGATGAACAGTTGCCCATTATCAAACAAAAGTTTTATTGAAACGGAAAGAGCGATCGATGTTCTATCACGAGTTTTTAATTTTTCGACTGCCTTTTTTAGTTTTCAAGAGTGGTGATGCAGTGGTTAACGCAGCCTGCCGCCTTAACCCTGCAGCCTGAACCCTGCCACCTTAACCCTGCCACCTTAACCCTTTTACCTTAAGTCAAATTCCCAGCCACGACTATCATCAGTGATGAGTGCTATATAACGTAGACCTGGACCTCCCCCTTCTACAACCCTCATTGACCAGCGTGGTGAAGTATGGTCAAACAATCCCCCATATTTTATCATCAATAAGTCTGCTCTTCCTTACTACTGCGTTGCTTTCGCTGCTATACCCTATGGCTTTCCCACATGTTTTCGGGTCGTACCGCGTGTTGTTCGGCACGAGGTCCGGCATTTGCTCCGTGTGCTAGGAGCTTCCTCGGGAGCCGAGTTCAGGAACTGAAGAAGCTCCAAGCACGTGGAGTGAAACGTCGGACTTTATGCCGAACAACACGCGGTGCGACCCGAAAACAAATCGGGGAGCCATCAGCTCTTCCCTGGTTGCGCTTTTCCACTTCTGGAGGTCAGCGCTCATGGGATGACGTCTGGTGGCAGCTGAGCTCCAGGCAAAAGTCTGCGATGTAGGCACGTCTGGGTCGTGCAGAATGGAGTTTGGTTCCTGAAACGGCGTTACCCACGCACCCACCCACAGTGGAAATACTCCGAATAAATGCGGGGGAGTTTGCATCGCTCCGTGCCTGCGTCTCCACGCGCGTTGGTTCATGCGAATGCAACTCCGCCCGTCTGTGCAGTCGCACAGTGACAGGTGTGATGATGAATAATGTTTGCAGTTGTATGCTTTGTTGTATAGAGATAAGTGTACTGTATCTTGGAATGTAACACAAGTGAAAATGTTATTGGTGTTCGCTGGGTTCCAGCGTTCACGATACGTGCCTTGAATCACTTGTGTAGAAATCGACGTGTTTAGCTTTGCATGTGTATTGTTGGTGTTGTCGTTACGTTGCAGGACTGTGAGAGATTGTGACGTCTGTTGGAGGCCTTCATCCAGCAGTGAATTGAACATGGCTAATGATAATGAATATTTGCGTTGAATGTCATGGATTCACATGACCCCATCCAACCACTAGAGGCCACTGCATTCACAACAGTGTTAAAAACAATTGATTCTTAAATTGTGTTCCTCATTTCTGACGATTCATCGCAATGAATGATATATAGGAGCGTAACGCGTTACTGTGCTGCATGGCACCAACCTCGGCTCAAAAAATTAAGGACACAACCAGGATTTAGAATCTGACCACCAGGTCACATGTTCGTGTCATCACCTCCGTGTATCCAATGCAGTGTTTGGGTTTCACATGAAAGTGGCACATCCTTATCCCAACAAAGCCTCTCTTGGTAGAGACTGTTTACCAATTCTAATTTTGCCTCTCTAAGTGGGTCCAAGGGGGGCTTAAGACTGCAGCAGCAGGGACACGTGCCAGGATATCTCTCCCTTGGCTACACCCTGCACGTGTGGAGGGCTTCAATCCCTCGTACAGCCCCTACCACCAACAAACAAACTAAGGATTCCTTTGGGTTAATGTGTGGATGTTGGCAGATACAACCAGGAGTGGTGGTCTGAGTGTTTTTGGTGTTCCCAGCAGACGGCGCTTAATGATGGTCTCCTGCCACCTCTGCCCCGAGTTAATTTGTCTCGGAACGTAGCTACGTTTCTGCAACAGGCTGGCATGGCTCCTTTCTCCGTCTCGTCGCTTCAAGAGCCGCGTAGCTCTGCGAGCTTGGCTCCTCTAACTGTCTCCCACCCCACATACGTACCCATACCCACTTCTGTACCCATACACACTTCTGTACCCATACCCACCCCAATCCCGTACATCATGGTCTAATGTGCCTGGGCTAGCCTACCCTGCCCCAAGCTATTTCTTTGTTTACTTATTGTCCTCTCGTTTTAAAAACAAAAGCCCGGCTCTGAAGTTGACTCAAGCAAGGGACGTCGGGAAACGTGTGTCGCTCTTCTGAGCTGATCCCACGACCTCTCGGGGTCAACTCCCCAGGGCAGCTCGGGTTTCCTGGCCCACCGCCACGCGAGTGAAAGCGAGCACGGCGGGCAGCACCGCGCGAGTCGAGCCGGGCAGTCGGCGCTGAGCCGACTCGCCCAGTTTCAAGACCCGGGCGGGCTCACATTTTTGCTTGGTCATGGGACCGCGGCATGAGGCTTCATGCGCGACCACGTGGTCCAGTTTTGTGTAGACTTCCCTGATTATGGCAGCCGTCTTCCAAATGACATCCCTGTACGCCTCCCATGTGGGTTGGAGGTTTGATTTCCCCCGTGCCCGCCCCTTTTTCCTGGCCCAGTGAAATCGTCAAACGGAATGTCTAGGGTGCTGGGGGGGGGGTGCCTAGAACTCTCAGCGACCTACACCTGCATATATTCACTCATTTAACGGCATCCATCCGTGCAGTGACAGGTGTGACGATGAATTGTTTATCTTTGCAGCCATGTGCTTTGTGCTAAAGACGGCAGGAGATGTGCCGGTCATGAGGCTTTTGGCGACGCAACGGTTGATATCGATTCCTAACGCTCACGATACACGCTTAGAATCCGGCGTGTGAGAAAATATTGATTTTAATGTATGCAAATTGTGTGCGATGAAAAATGAAAATGTCACATTTATGGGAATTAAGTGAAAGTGATAGGAAACGTGGGACGGAATAAATGAGAATACAATACAAATGGGAAGGTCAAATGAGACCAATGTTGGTTTTGTTTATTGAGTAAGGACCCCAGCATTGTGACCAATCATCAAATTGACTGTGGGATGAATTGATACATATCCCCCTGGTCGCGTTGGAAAAGTGCGAATTCATGATTATCGTCAGCAGCCATGATTGATCCACTGCCATTCCTTGCGGTGCTTTGTATGCAACAAGATTGGAGTATCAAGGGAAGAGAAAACATCTCATAAAGGCAACAGATGAATCCTGTTGAGTGCATGTGTGTAGCGAGCAACATTTCATCCAACGGGCGTTTTCAATACATTTTTCTTTGGAAATATTTTCAATTTTCCCAGCAGAAAATGACGAATTGTGCATGAACTGAAAATGTCGACTGATATTAAACTGTCTAATGCCAACAGGCTACCCTTTATCATGGAAAGCCAAACACTAATGTGCTCGTGCACGCATTAGAACAGTGTCTTGTGGCAGCACATTTATACTTGTGCGTTACTTTCCCGTTTTGAATTGAGAATGTTTACAGTTGCATATTTTAAAACGCGCGCACGTGCTTGCATGCCTGCAGCTGTCCTCGCGGGCCACGCAAGAGCAGGGTGCGCATGTGTGTGTGCTACAAAGCCGGTGACCCGAGTTCCATTCGTGCTCATGGCCAACACCAGCGATGATTATCTGTACCACTCCTGAACCTCCACTAGGTCGACTCGGCCCCAAATGAGTACCTGGTACGATGTGTAAACGTCGCCACGAGGGAGACAAAGGTGAACGGGCGTGGTGTTGGCCACCCACCTCGTGTGCTTTGCCGGGCTTCGTAGGCGTTTGCTCACAACACTTGTCCCAGAAGTCTATTTAAACTATACGGGGGATCTTTGTCTTGTTGCGGCAGCAGCAGCAGCAGCAGCTGTGCTCGAAGGCCCGAGCAGCGGCGCGTGTGTGCACGTGTATCGGCTGAGCGTGGTTATTTTCGGGTCGACATGTGCGAGTGTGCGTCCGTATGCGACTCTCGTCTATTTATAAAGCGCGGCTGCGCGATGGCACACGCCCCCCGGTGCGCCTGCATCTGCGGACGGCTGCCCGCCCGCCCGCGTCCGCGCGCCCGCGTCCGCGGCCAGTTGGGCGGCGCGGAGCCTCGAGCGAGCGAGCGAGTGAGCGAGCGTGTCGCGCCCTGTGCTCCGTCGTTTTGTGCGGGCAGCGCAAGAGCAGCAGCGTGGACACCGAGGACAAGGTCCGGCGGCTGAAGAGGAAGAACGCCGAGCTGGTGGCCATTGCCAAGCGGCTCGAGGAGAGGGCCAAGAAGCTGCAGGAGGCCAACATGAGGGTGGTGAGAGACGCACCCCCCCGTCCTGGAGTTAGTGAACATCCATTCCCCCCGGCGTATGTGTGTATGTTGAACTTCTTTCGCACCCGTACGTAGCCAGCCGTGCTAATCGGAGGTGCGCTTCTTTCACACGATCGGTGAATTCAGCAAACGTGTGGGGGAGGTCAAGTGAGACCAAAAATAATACAGTAAACCCTCTCCATTTGCGAGGGTTGCGTTCGTTAAAACGCTCGCGAATGCACAATGCGCGAATGCGGAAACTTTATTCAACGGGATAAATCGGGTTAAGTTTCTGGTACAAGTGAATGTCGGGGTTTTTTTTTTTTAAGTGGCGCCGTAAAGTAGAACGCTGTGCGATTTGAGTTACAAAATGCCTTTAAGTGCGACTGCGTCTCAAGACGCCGTCCATTCTCTACCAGTGGGGAAGGACGGTGGAGCTGTTCAGTGATCGTCCCAGAACAGCATGGGCGCCTTGCGGGAGTGTATCGAATTTACTGGGAATGCTGGGTCATCCGACCATGTCTGAAAATTAACATGCGAGCCACGTTAATAATTTCTATGAATAGTTAATTGTGCATAAACCGGAAAGTACCTGCTTACTTGCACAAAGTGTAACCAAACATGTACTTGTATTTGCATTAATTTCGCCCGTGCATACAGATTGGGCTAAATGAATCCCTAACGGAGATGTAATGCATTTCCGCGTGTGCGTGTACCTGGTATTGCACGGAGCATTTGTTTCATCGGCGAAAGAATGATTTGCGTCTATGACGAAACGAATGGGAATCCACCTGATATCATCAGACCCTAAGCAGGGTTGAGCCTGGATAAGCGCTTGGGATGGGTGATCACCCTGCGCATCACTGTGCACAAAACAGATTTGTCACGGGCTGTCGCGGAGGGGGGCACAGCAACATCCAGGTCCACGCTAAACTTTGTAATTTACCAGGTGAGGCCCACAGAGCTACATAGCTCTTTTTTTGAAGCGATCTAATGAGGGCTCAATGAAGTGGGTTATCACGTGGAAATGTATCGCACCAAAATACTGTAAATGCATGTTTCTATATGTGGAGGGAAAAACCGGAGGACCTGGAGAAAAATCCATACCGCCACTGGAAGAACATGCAAACTACGAATTTACACGAGTCAGTGTCAGGATCGAACTCAGGACCTCTTGTATACTACGCTCACGCTCCTCGCCTACACCACACTGATTGGGAATGGTGAAGTGTGGTCAAATAATCCCCCCAACCCACACGGTATGCGGAGGCCTTCATGTTCGAAAACTGAGTGGGAGTGAACAATTTAACTTGAGAGTACTTTCCTACTGGAGGGGTATTGAAACCCAAGTCAGTTTTAGAAATGGTTGACCCATTTTTTTGAGTGTTTACTGCCTATTTTCTTTAAGATTAAATAAATAACTAGGCAAGAGCCTCCTGAGACCAGAGGTCCCATTTGCAAGGGCAATGTGGGATTGAATAAGTACAGAGAAACATAAAACAACTTCCATTGTGTAAAACAAATTGATGCAGTAAAAGGCATTTAAAAAGTCGTTCAAACACAGTAAAGAATTAGATCAAGGTCAAGAGGTCATCATGGCCAGTGCTGTGGATGCCACCAAACCTCGCCATCGCTTTCTTCCTCTGGCAAGGTCCCATAGCTGTCGTAAATTCGACAGCTCTGACCTTTGAGGTCCGCTATTATACAAACCAAATCAATCTTCTTTGGTTCTTTCGGTAAAGTCACGTAGAATGATAATAAAATAATAAATTGATAAAATAAAATAACACAATAATATTCTCACGACGTTTCGGCCACAACACAAGCGGCCTTCATTAGGTGAAGGGGGCGAGACTGTCTGGTAGGACAGCGCTGGAGTCACTCATCATTCTACGTGACTTTACCGAAAGAACCAAAGAAGATGAATCATTGCAGTCACGAAAGCTTTAAATCGAAATTTAAACCAAATCAATGTTTTTTTTTTTCCAGCACAGTTGGGCCAAGGGGTGTTGCTTAAATTTTGATTTAAAGCTTTCGTGACTGCAGGGATTCATATTCTTGATTCTTTCGGTAAAGTCACGTAGAAGGGAAACAATAAAATAATAAAAATATAAAACATTAAATTTTGTCACACCTGATGATGATTGCTTGCCTTGCAGTCGAAACGTCGTGAGAATTGTATTGTTTTATATTTTTATTATTTTATTGTTTCCCTTCTACGTGACTTTACCGAAAGAACTAAGAATATGGTGTTGCTTAACTTCAGAGCCTTGAGCCAGTGGCGTCAATTTCACACCATTGTGGCAGCGGTGGTTCTCTCTCTATATCACAACCACTGTGGGCGCCACGGTTGTGAGATGTTAACTACTCCGCCCAGTATACATGAAGTTGTGGGTTCGATCCCGACCCCGTGGTCGCATGGGTTTTTCTCCGAGTCCTCCGGTGTTTCCCTCCACATTTAGAGTCAATATGTGCTGAGAGTATTTGGCCGCTATAAATTTCCACATGATAGGCCGCTCCGTTGAGCTATCATTTCTGGCCAGATCGCTCCTAACAAAGATCTATGTAGCTCAGTGGGCCATGGCTGGTAAAATAAAAAAGAGTTTAGTTTCAGTAGTTTTGCTTCACCACAAAGTGGTACTTGATTTTTTGATCCCCAGAGGGATGAAGGGCTTCCCACTGCGCTGAATGTGCTACCGCTGTGCCTCTCGGCTGCATATGCTTCGCCAAACTCTCATTAATTGCGATTAATAATAAATATTAAATAAAATATAATACATATAAAAATCATTTAAAATTTAAATTATGCAGTATACATACATAAGTTTCTGGATTTTTCTATATTCAGACTCGGTGAATTTAAATCGAAATCCGAGGGTTCAAAACTCATTATCATTGCTTAACATCTGTTTGCTAGCCTCTCGGACAAAGGCACAATAGAGTGAGTGCCCTCTTTTGTTATGACACTGATGCTACGTTACCATGTTTCCACGACCACCAAGAAGTAATGCGGCCTGATTTGTGAACCGGGCAAGTGGGAGCTCGGCCCGGATTTGTGACGCGGACGCACGGCTTGCCTGCTCGAGAGGGCCCCATCAACACGAGACAGAAATACGGACTAAGTGGGGGTTCTCACGCCACTGAAATTCAGTGGTGGGTTTTTTTTGTAAAAAAATATATATACAGGTAGTCCTCTACTTACGATGGCGATGCGTTACGACGACCCCATCGTAAGTCAAAAATACCGTAAGTCGAAGATGGCCTAGCCTACCCAGGAGTCTTAAAGAATGGTGATAATTTAGCAAAACAGAGCAATTTACAGTACCGTGCTGTATAAACTTTATATTGTATGTATTTATTAATTACAATACTGTATTGCACAGTAAAATGTAAAGTAACAAAATAAGGTAAATCCTTAGTCTACCTATATGAACTGCAATTTAATAGAAAGTTTTTTCAGGAAACAATCGTATCTGCTATAAAAAAAAAAACAACGTACAGTATCGTAACTCGTACGCTGCTGCGTTTGTCTGCTGCGCGAAATTTAAAATATTTTACAATTTTGTCGTATCGCTATCGCCATCGTAAGATCGAAATATCGTAAGTCGGACCATCATAACTCGGGGACTATCTGTAACTCGGGGACTATCTGTATATTTACGTGATGGAAATATATGACTAAGTAGGTATTTGCTGGGCATAACCTAACCCAAGAAAACTTGAAAACTTGTAAAAAGTTACTTGAAAAAAATGTTGCAGTTACCTCCCAAGATCTGCATAGAAAATGGGAGGAGAAGTGGGCTAATGGAGGCAATGTTGGGGGGGGTCAGGGGGTAGGAGGGCATTAAGAGGTTGAGTCCATGGAGCCTCATGGCTCGTGAGGTTCCGAGGAAAAGAATCGAGCCGTGCCTGGCCCCCCCCCCCGACACGATTCGTGTCGGCCATCCGGCATTCATGGAGTCGCAGTAACGTGGCGTTCGTGGCTCTCCGTGCAACAGGCCACGACACCGGCGCCACTCAAGCTGCAGGCGGTGGAGCAGTACCGCAAGGCGTTCGCACGGCAGCGAGCGCGGGACCTGGGCAGCCAGGCGGCGGCGCTGCTCTCCAAGGACAAGCAGGTGGACGCCCTGCAGAGGGAGGTGTACCGCCTGCGACACCTGCTCCACCTGCTTGCTCCCGTACGGCCCCGCGCGTCCCGTTCGCACCCACACGACCGCGATAGTGGCGCCGCGCCATCGGTGCCCGTCACACGATGGCGTTACGTGCGGATGCGACCATTGTCGCGATATCATTGTTCGCTGTGTGATATGATTTTCCACGGCATGACGATCATCGCGATGTAATATACCACGGTATGCGTTGCCTTCCACGGTATGGCAATTGTCGCGATATCATTTTTCACAAAGCGATAATGTGCCAAATAGTTTCATAATATCACCCACAGTATCAGTTTCCCACCACTTCGTGGTTGTATTTGACATTGTTATGGAATTGTCTTTGTGCTTTTATAAACTTCCGGCTGGAATATCATATTTAGAAAAAAACCCATCAACTTCAGTTCAGTCAACATGAACCTGCCTAAGACTGTTGGCAGTGGCAGCAGTTATAGTACATTGCAACTTGGGAATGTGCAAACTAATAACAGCAAAACCAACATTTGCACGAAACCCACATCAGAACTTACTGCATACAGGATAAACAAAGCAAATGTTTTCCCTCGTGCGCCACTGGATCGCAGGTGATGGGCGGGATCTGCGTCGCGGCTGCCATTATTATCGCGGCCCGAGTAACCAACCCCGTCGATGACAATTTTGAGCGTCGATCAGTAAACTTGGTCGACGAGTAGTCCCTGCTCTCGTTACGCGCCTGTTGCTCCATACGTGCCTAATTTTACCGTCTGTGTCCATGTCTCGCCGCGCTGTCGTGTCCAGGAGGGGATTGTGGAGCCGGAGAGCGACACGGAGCGGCTGCTCGTAGCCTCGCAGAAGGAGGTGCTACGTCTGCAGCGCCAGCTCTCCGTGGCGACGGGCAAGCGGCCGCAATCGCTGCCCTCGCCCGACAAGGTGAGTCGAGGAGCCACCCCGAGCAGGGAGGCTACTGAATTGGTTCCAGCCCTTGGTTTTTTGTTGTGCCGAGGTGCCGGCGCTGTGACCAAGTTTATTTTGTGTAACCCGGTGGGAATTGAAGGGAGTGTGTAGAGAACTTCTGCACGCTCGCTTTTGGTGCTAGTTCAGAACATAAAAAATGTAATATTCCTTTGCGCGCTCAAAGCTCAGATTGGAGTAGCGGGGGTGTGAATTAATGTACACGTGGAGTGTACCTTTGTATGCGCCAAGGCCGATTTACTGTCAATCGAGGCAATGGGTCTCATTTACTGTCGGTGGGAGCAGTCGGTGTCGTATACGATCAAGCAAACAAGGCTTAATTTCAGCTGTTGTCAAGGACCTGGAATATATGTTCATGCCTAGCACACCACATCCAGTGTCCCCCCCACTCTAGCTGTGGCTGCTAGTCACGGGAATCCCCGAGTCTACCTGCGGCCCGGAAAATATTACCGCAACCGGCACACCGGATCCAGTGTCGCTGTGGCTGTGCCACCTCCCAGTCTGCCATTGACCCCTAAAGTATGCGGTGAGAAATGAAGCCCTGCTTTCGGTAGGAACAATGAGTCTCCGCACACAGCAAATTAGACTTTTTGTCCCCTGAATCATCGCCTGAGCTGCTACCCCGGCGGCCAGCTGCCACCGCAATCTCGCCCCTCCCCCCTCCCCCGCTCCCCACAACTTCCCCCGGTTGACATTTAATCACGAGAGGTTAGAACATAGGAACCTTTGGCTCCTTCTCCTCGGTGCTTCCTTGGCTCGGAACGTGGTTATCGGGGTAATGGTTGCCTCCTCTACTCAGTCACTGTTGGGCCGGTGGTCACTAATATTGAGCAGAGGCAGACGGAGCACTCCTCAATAAGGCTCCTTGGCAAACGGCTCAGCACGGGAATGTATTTACACTCCCCCCTCCCCATTTCTTCTTAAAGTCTTCGCGATGGTTATCTGCCAGTACAGTGGTATAATTTACTAGGTGCCGGAGGGGAGGGGGCGGGGAGGTGCAGCGGTGGTGCAGTCGTCGGCGCACTCGCTATGAGACCAGGGACCTGAGTTGGATTTCCGTCCGTGGCTAACATCACTGGCGAGTGATATTCACTTTCACCAACCCGCACTGACCAAGTACAGTGAAGTACAGTGAAGTACAGTATGGTCAAATAATTGCCATGACCGACACTGCATTGGGAGACCTTTATCCAGCAGTGGCTTGAAAGAGGGCTGCAAGTTACAAAGCTAAAGATCCCCCGTATAGCCTTTGCAGGCTGTAGGAGCAAGTGCTGTTGTTAGTGAGTAGCACCTATGAAGACCAGCACTGTGGCACACGAGAGGGTGGGTGGCCAGCACCACGCCTGGCCGCCTTTGTCTCCCTTCTCTGCCCAGTGTGGTGAATGTTGCAATTTTGCACTGAGCAGAGCCTCGTTGTGTAAAATGGAGTGGCTCTTGCTGTGGCATAATGTCGCAAGCCTGCAGAATTTTTTGAGCAAGCCTCACGCTGCTGATGAGACCAAGTAGAAATGAAACGGGTATAGAGCTTGCTTACACCACCTCTACTGGATGATAAAGGAATAAAAGGGCCAGTTGAATGATTTGATGAAAAGCTCTTGAATATTTATGTGAAGAGACAAAACTGAAGTCTTGCTTTTCATTATGTTTTGATATGCTGCTGTATTTAGGGGTAATTGATTGAGCAAAATCTATAAAAAATAGACACAAAGGAGAGCGACAAATACAAATATAAACGAGGCAAAACTAAATAATGAATTCTGGAATGGAATCTCGACCCTGGGGCGAGTTTGAATTATTAATTGCTCAAAAGAGTATCTATCAACACGGTTACAATGTGTACAATTGCTTGGCAGCTACAATGTGGTTATCAAGGGAAATATTGACACTTTGTTGCTGTTGAATTTAACCCGATAGTTGCCTATCGAGTTAACCAGGGGGGCCTGGGTGGATGGCCCCACGGTGCAATGAACCTCGCTACCCGAGCTAGATTCCCGGCCAAGAATAACATCAGTGGCGAGTGATATCCAATCCCGGATATGTCTCCCCGGTGCACCAACCAGTACCGGGGAAGTATGCGCAAACAACCCCCAAAGATCGATGCGGCATGGGGAAGTCTTCATCCAGCAGTGGATTGACAAAGGGCTATACATTTAAAATGATCAAGTTACGTATGACACTGCAGTATTTATCATGATAATATTTAGCAGAACTAAAATATTTCTGATTCATATGGAGAATTGGCTGTTAATCTGAACGCTTTAAGTGCAATTCTCAATGAATAAAGCTTATAATGCGAGTTTTAATCAAAGCTGACACCAGAAGTGAAGGGCCTAAGAAGTTGAGATTATGAGGTTAATGGTTATGGAATTACAAGCCTTAGAGGGTCGCTGAGCGGTGGGTGAAATCGCACAGAGAATCATGGCTCTGCCACACGTGTGAGCACCACAGCGATAAAATATATATAGCTGCATGTTATCATTAAACAGATGAATCTACCGCAAATAAAATATTTTAGAAAAAAAAGAGCCCATGTGTCATGCTCCAGGCATTTCATTCGCAGCCGTGCGTACGCGTCCTCTGCCTGCCTGTCTGTCTCACAATCCCCCCTGTAAACGCGGGATCCTTTATCGGGGCATGCCAATAGGCTTGGCAAAAGAACGACGGGCATCGCATGGAATGGCTCAGATGAAAGCCGGCGTCACAGCTTAAGCGTGGGTCGAGGACTTTGAAAATAACTTTCGGCATTTAGTCGTGAGTGGCACGAGGGCTTTGAGCTTGTCAGCCATTTCCCTGTCCTCGGGCTCTATCCCACGCTTTCCCTCTTCACCTAGTCCCTCTTCCCCGCATCTGCACCCCTCCCCCTGCCCATTTCTCATTGCATATCTCCCCCCCCACATCGCACCTGGCTGTGCCGCCATGCCATGGCTTAGTGAACAGTAAAATGAGTGGCAGCAGCAGCAGCGCCAAGACTCGGTGCCCGCGCGCACGCACGATCTGTAACGTCAGCACCTAATGTCATTCATGGCCTCCGTGGAGGAGCGATTTATCGATTGTGTTACAGCAAGAGAGCGCGTTTAACAATTTTTTCCCCCGTCCTACTTCTGGAATTCTATAAATGCGTCTTCGTTTGGAATGACTAATCACCACAATGTGGTACGTTGAACAATGCGTTTCTAATTGTCTGTGGTGGCATCATGGAAGCATTTACGACGGCAGCATTTCGCTTCTTCGCCCTCTGTGCTCATGCTAAAGGACCCTCCTGTGGCGTTTGCACTGCACACGAAGCAAAGGGAGAGATTAGGGGATTAAGACGGAATTCTCACGCGCACAACACGCACGTCGAATTGTGCATCTTAGAATATAATTTTATTATTGTTTTTATTACGAATTTTATGCAAACGATATTATAATGTTACCTTACACCACTGGACGGGTGAAGACAAAACATGCAAGAGACAAAAAACAGTTGAGACACAAAAAATAATCTATTTAAATCAAATAGGGACCTCAAATTGCGACAGTTTATCAAACCGCCGGTAGACTGAATCGTCGTGTGCCTCGTGTACACTTATAGCAGCTGAGAGCCGGTACTAACAGCGCCCAGCAGACTTGCTACTCTGCGAGTATTAGCAAAGCTACCCATCGCTTTATTGAGTCCACGATATTCCTGGGTTCCACCCCCATCAAACCTCAAACCTCGTGGTGCACCTATCAAGTTTGCAGGTGGTTCAACCGCACCAGGGGCCCAGAGCCTGGAGCGGGGGTGGTGGGGTGGCAGGGGTTATGGGAGAAGGGTGGGAAATGTGACAGGGGCTCCATTTCATTGCTTGCACTGGGCCCATGCCAACCACAGCCTGGACCCCCCGTAGAGGCAAGGAGAGCAGGAGCCTCACGTCCGTCAGGCATGTCCTCTGTGCTCGCCACTCTGCTTGCAGCCGCGTGATGACACGTTGGAATTACGAGGCGGTGATGGCGCTTCTTTACATTGAAATTGCATGTCCCTGCAGATGCGAGTGTCCGTTATTTGTGCTTGCCATCACTTTCTGGAGAGAAGATTGATTGGAGTGAGATGGCTGATTAGATTCTCTGTACCAGGTGAAATCATTGAATGTATATTGAAGTCCTTATTATTAGTGTTTTGTCTGTCTATCTGTCTTCCCTAAATGTTATGATAATTCTGTTTTCGTTGACACCAGACAAAAGCACCGCTCGGAACGCTCGCAGAGCAGTGCAGACTTGTGTGATAGAGGCTGGCCCATAAAAGTAGATGTTTTAAAAGAACTCGGGGGTGAGAACAAATTGTGTCGAATGGCAGAAAAACTGATCATTTACATTCTCAGAGCTGATGTTTTGCCATATTAAGTGAAAACGTACATTTTAATGTGAAATGTTTTTTTTTTATGATGACCAGTCGTTAGCAACCGGACTGAGACTACAATCAAGACCTTGGCTTTATCACAGGTGGCCAAACACGGATTCTGACCCAGCATCTCAGCCGTGTTGGCTGTTCGCTGGCAATGTCCTTACACGAGCACGCACGCACCGACGCTTAATTGCAGTGCGACCACTAAAGAGAGCACTGTCCTTAATTAACGGACGCCTTTCAAAACAATGCATGCGTGCACCCTTCAGTTCGGCGGTCAATTTTAGGAAAAATGAGAAGCAGCATCTTCTCACGATGATCATTTCGGCAAGACACTTAACTCGGCGGTCAATTTGAAACCCAGATTAAGCATTGCGCACTTCAACAATCCATGTCCTGTGACGCGCTGCTCGGTACTTTACAAGTGCTTTTGTAATCTGCGTGAGCAACAAGGGAAGGTATCACAAAAAGCTTTGCCCTCAAGCACCACGGCGTACTGAATGGTCGCGGAATATTGATACGACGAGGGGAGGCCATCGTGTGAGAGCTACCAATGATCTGGCTATAGAATCACACCGAGCAAAGAAACCTCTCG